TCCAGTGCCAACTGACAAAAAACCAAATAAACAGTGTACAGATTTCTCCCAGATTTTCCTCAGTACTCTATGGTGTATTTAATATATTACATGGAACCTACAGAAAGCAAGCAAAAAACTCTTTCTATTTCCTTCTCCCCTCCTTGCAGCTCCTTTTTGGGCCCTTTTAGATTGTCTTCACCTTCTTCAGATGCACTTCCTGCTTTCCTAACATGGGCCTGCAATCTCAGTGGAAAAATAAGTCATTAGTTCTTGGACCCTGTCCAAGATGTAAGTTTCTAGGAAGAAATATTCACCAAAAACTCAATTGGGGTCTATTAGTTTTGGCGTTCTGGGAATCCACTTAAATCACTCACACCCCAAGCAGGAAACATGCTCATGTAAATTATATTTTCAAAGTACAAAGCAGCAAGTAAAAATGTCTCAACTTTCTGAAAAGGAAAACAGAAGAGCATACAAAGAGACTGACTTTCAGAGGTGCTAAGATACTGCAATTGACTTTCATGGGAGTTGAGAGTGCTCAGAATCTCTGAAAACACAGCCCATAAAGATGTGACCTTTAGAATCAACAACAGTGTAAAATTAGGTCCCAGAGAAAGAAAGAAAACAGGAAGTTCTTTGAGTGTGTGATCCCTAACTGTAATCCACTGTGGGTTATGCATGTGCACAATACGCCCTGAGCCTGAGAATTTGAAAGTAGTGTTCATTAATCCGTGCATGCATCCTGGCTCACCTCATGTCTCTTCCTGAGGAGTTAAAGGGCAGAGTGGACTGACCGCCTCTCCAGTTCCTTTTCTACTGCAAATCAGATAAGATCTGAAGCAGAAGGGAAGGAAGGTGGGTATTGGAATACAGCCTGATGTCTTCAAAGAAAGAATATAGACCAAGATGAGAGGAATATCTGTAGTTTCTCAGAGAATGCCCCTTTGATGTGCCCAGGAAGAAAAGCGCTTCCAGTTAGCTAGGTAACATCTAGTAGAGTCCTTTCTACTATTAGAGAGGATGTGTCTTGTACAGCTATGGAGCATGAACGTTCTAAGGATGATGCCCATCCAAATACCAAACTCTGAGATGGAGTGGGTGCAGATCAGGGTGCTTGATTTTGCTGTTGCACAGGGTCAGGAGCTTGGGAAATGTTGGGAGGATGATTGGTGGTCAGGATGCCCATGTAGGAGGTTGGGAAACTAAAACTCTCTGGCCCAGAAGGGGGCAATCAGGATGACCCGTGCTCTGTCCTGACGGATTTTGCATAGAACTTGTGGCAGGAGCAGTAGCAGAGGGAAGGCATAGTTGAGCTGGTCCAACTAAGGAGGAGGCAGAGCATCACTCTGGGAGTGATGACCGAGGGCTCTTATGGAGCAATATGTGATGCATTTCTGTTTGCATGAGAAGTGAACAGATCCCTTGTTGGGGTTCCCCCATAGAGTGAAAATATTGTCCAGTACCCGAGCTCCCACTTGTGGTTGATTGAAAAATGTGTGCTGAGGGAGTCTGCAAGCACATTTTGCTTTCCCAGAAGGTAGACTGCTGATAGGATGATTTGATTGGTGATACACTAGTTCCAGAGGCTGACTCCTGCACACAAGGAGGCAGATCTCGCTCTTCCCTGCTTGTTGGTGTAGAAGATACAGTAGTCGTAACATTGTCTGATGTTATAAGGACACAGTGAGTGTGGATGAAGGGAAAAAAGGACTCACATACCTTCCGAACTGCTCATAACTCCAGAATATTGATGTGCATTCTGGACCCTCAAGATATCCAGGAACTTTGTGCTGTGTGGCTGTTAATATGGGCTCCCCAACCTAATAGGGATGCATCTGTAATAATGGTCTTGACCAGAGAGGGTTGGAGAGAAAAGGGGATGCCCATGCATACCTGACGAGGTATAGCAGGGAAGACTCTACCTTGGCTGAAACTGTACCATGGGGTTCATGGAATGGTGGTTTGGGGAGTATACTGACTGCAGCCACATTTAAAGGTTGGCATAAGTGCATGAGGCCATATGACCTAGGAGAGACAGACATATCTTGAACAGTACTTGAGGGTTGCTTGTGATGAGAGCTATGACATTATTCATAGTCTGGAATCCATCCTTGGGCAGGTACACTCCTGTGGTAATAGAATTCAAGGTTGCCCTGATGAAGTCCAGAGATTATT